GTAATTGTAGATTTTTTAAATTGAAGTATAATTTATTTACATTGTTTCAAACGTACCACAAGAAGTTATTCAGTTATGTGTATACACAGAAACACACACACACACGTGGGTGTATGCAGTCGTGTCTGACTCTTTGTGACCCCATGGACTGTAGACCTCCAGGCTCCTCTGTCCATAGAATTTTCCAGGCAAGAATACTGGAGTGGGTTGCCATGCCCTCCTCCAGGGGATCTTCCCAACCCAGGGATTGAACCTGCATCTCTTATGTCTTCTGCATTGGCAGGCAGATTTTTTTTTTCCATTTATTTTTATTAGCTGGAGGCTAATTACTTCACAACATTTCAGTGGGTTCTGTCATACATTGACATGAATCAGCCATGGAGTTACATGTATTCCCCATCCCGATCCCCCCTCCCACCTGGCAGGCAGATTTTTTACCACTGGTGCCACCTAGGAAGCTGGTATATATATATATATATATGCTTTTTCAGATTTTTCAGCTTTTTCAGATTTTTCAGCTGGTATATATACATATATACATATATATATATACTTTTTCAGATTCTTTACCATTAAAGGTTATTGCAAGATATTGAACATAGTTCCCTGTGCTATACAGTAGGTCCGTGTTATTTGTCTATTTTATACATAGTATTATATATTATATGTAATGTTAACAGTAGGCATCTGTTAAACCCAAATTCTCAGTTTATCTCTCCCCATGTTTCCCTTTGGTAACCATAACTTTGTTTTATACATCTGTAAGTCTATTCCTCTTTTGTAAATAAATTCATTTGTATCATATTTTTAAGATTCCACATATGAGTGATATCACAGGATATTTGTCTCTGTCTGACTTACTTCACTTAATATAATCATCTTTAGGTCCATCCATGTTGCTGCAAATGGCATCATTTCATCCTTTTTATGACTGAGTAATATTCCATTGTATATACGTACCACATCTTCTTTATTCATTCATCTGTTGACGGACATTTAGGTTGTTTTCATGTCTTGGGTACTGTAAATGGTGCTGCTGTGAACACAAGTGCATTATTTTTTCACGCTAGAGTTTTCTCCAGCTATACGCCCAGCACGGTCATACAGTAGCTTTATTTTATTTCTTTAAGAACCTTCTTACTGTTCTCCATAGTGGCTGCACCAGTCTACATTCTCACCAACAGTGTAGGAGGGTTCCCTTTTTACCATACCCTCTCCAGCATTTATCATTTATAGACTTTTTGATGATGCCCATTCTGACCAAAGTGAGGTAGTATCTTACTGTGCTTTTGATTTGAATTTCTCTAATAATTAGTGGTACTGAACATCTCTTCGTGTGCATCTTACTGTGCTTTTGATTTGAATTTCTCTAATAACAGTGGTATTGAACATCTCTTCACGTGCCTGTTGGCCATCTGTATGTCTTCTTTGGAGAAAAGTCTACTTAAGATTATCTGCCCTTTTTTTTCTGATTAGGTTTTGTTTTAATTAAACTGTATAATTTCTATTTTGGAAATTAATCCCTTGTCAGTCACATCATTTGCAAATATTGTCTCCCATTGTATAGGTTGTCTTTTCACTTTGTGTATGGTTTCCTTTGCTGTGCAACAAAAATACATATTTTGTGTGTCCACTGAAGCCCACGGGGGCAATGTGTGAGACTGAACGCACACAGCTCTGGTCCCAGCTAGATCCAGCCCCACAGTCCACACCTTCCATTAAAACGAGCCTGACTTCCCTCCCAGCTCATGTCTTCCGACTACACAATTTCTAGAACTGTTGCTTTGCTCCTTTAAACCACCTTCAGTTTCAAAATGATCTACTTCACTTGCCCCAGTATTTTCCCGTGAGTCTTCCTGGAGTACATTTTTGAGCCAGGGGCTTGATGTTATGTTTTTGTTTGTTTTTATTAGATATTTTGATATTGAAATTTGATATTATAACATTGATATATCAGATACTTGATATTATAATATTGATATATTAGAATTCTTGCCACATTCTAATATATCTCAGTGAAAGTGTCAAGTCACCAGAAAGTAACCGGTTTAAAAATTATATAAAAGATGATGAGATTAGCACAATGTCCATTTAAAACTTCCACAAAACTGAAAATGGAGCTGCCAGCAGCTTCCATTATTTTTCTGAGGTCACACCACGCCCCCCTATCACGTTCTTACCCATTGTGCATCTTAAGTTCTATGATAGGCACAGAAGGAATGCTAATACCGCAGTGCTTTCATTCAGACCTTCTGCCCACATGAGGCTGTCTGTCCTGTATCATCACATGCACCTGGATGGCACCACACACGGCTCGGCAAAGCATCAGGTCAACCACAGTTCACGATGGTAAAACCAGTGCTGAGCTGGTGGGGAAATGAAACGGCTTTAATATATTGCATTTCATCTCTGCGAGTCAAGCTGCAGATAAATGCTCAGTCTTGTTCTAGATTAGAATTAAAACATCCCATGTCAGTGAAGTCCTTGCTTAGGAGGTCCTGCATAGAATGGCAGCCCAGGCTCCCACTCGCATGCTGTTGGCTGGAACGCATCCCTGTGAAGCTGTGGGCTGTCCTCGCTCAAGAGAACCCCGTTGCTGGTTTCTTCCAGAGTCGAGACTCACAGTGTTACTGGAGAGATCAGAAGAGGTGCTGGACCAGAAGGTACTCTCTTGGGCCCACAAGCTTTAGCAAAGAGTGAGGAACACTGGACACAGAATCCAGAGACTTGTCTTACCCGGATCAGCCAAGAACCGGCCACGTGGACTGCGTGCACACAGTTTAGGTAACATTCATTGTCTTTTCAGGTGGCCCTAAGCAGCTCCTGGTCGCCACACAGATCGAGTTCAACCTCCCAGGCTAGCCTTCAGTTTCAGCCTGTATTCCACCCCAGCTGTCTGAGGGGTGGCACCGTATGGGGTCAGGGGTACAGACCCTGCAGTCAGGCTACCTGCTTTGAATCCCAGGTCTGCCCCTGTCCAAGTTGGACAGATAACCTCACCTTTCTGGACCTCAATGCCAAATCTGTAAGCAATATAGTAGCAAGGGCTGTCTTGTAGGGCAGTGGGGAAGATTAAGTGAGTAAAAGTGGCCCTGTCCTTGGCATGGTGCCCACAGGGAGTACATATGCTGGTGGTTTAGTCGCCAAGTCGTGTCTGACTCTTTGTGACCCCATGGACTGTAGCTTGCCAGGTTCCTCTGTCCATGGGATTTCCCAGGCAGAAATACTGCAGTGGGTTGCTATTTCCTTCTCCAAGGTGTTTGCTGATGAAAAACTGTGCCTTCACTTTTGAGTCTGACTTTAAACCCACCTTCTCCACGGCACTTTCCCAGGTGCTGTACATGTTTAGAGACCAGTGAGCAATGTTGAGTTAGCAATTCAGACACATTGATGTACTCAGGGAACGAGAGAGCAGTGAGACTGATTTTCCTCCGATGCTTGTTCCTTTCACAGTTATCCCGTGGCTTCATCTTTCTTGTATTTATATGTGTCTGTGGGCATGTGAGCCTGGGCTCCTGTTCTTCACACCTCTCCACTTCTCCTGGCAAACCTCAACTCCTCTCAAGATGCGGTGCAAACATCCCCTCTCTGGTGAACTCCTCCCCGATTTCCCAGCTGGGAAGGCACCCTCTCCACAGCAGTTTTTATAAATGGCTGCATAATTCTTCTACTTGCCCTGCACTGAGAGTTCAGGTCCACATTCCTCCCCTAGCTTCTGGGTAGGCTTGTAAGTGCTTCACCCCAAAGAGTCTGTGGCAGGAGCAACACTGGTGTCTCAGGAGCCACGCCGTGTTGTGTGTGAGCTCAGTCGTGTCCGACTCTTAGTGACCAACCAGCTCCTCTGCCCTTAGGATTCTCCAGGCAAGAATACTGGAGTAAGTTGCTCTCTCCCCCAGGGGATCTTCCCAACCCAGGGGCTGAACCTGAGTCTCTCACATCTCCTGCTTTGGCAGGTGGATTCTTTACCACTGCACCGCCTGGGAAGCTGGGCCCTGAAAGATGATGTGGCCTCCATGCTGTTGGCTGGAATACATCCCCTTGGAGCCATGAGGAAGCCTGGCTCCATGCAGAAGCCACGTGACACAGCTGGTGGGCAGACCTGGTTGCCCTGTTTCCAGGTGGGGCCCCTGACATGGTGGCACACACACAGCTGCCTCCTCCATGCTCTGCGCCCCCTCCAAATCTTTGAAAATTACAAATACAACAATCCCTTTGTGTCCTTACGTCCTGGGCTAGTTTATTATCATCCAGCAAAAGGGACTGGGGCACCCTTCTTCGAGCCCCAGTGACTGCGTATGTCCCAGTTACAGCACTCAGCTGCCTCCCAGAATCCTGTTTGTCGTGCCCACCGGACTGCAGGCTCCCCAAGGTTTGAACTCTCTTCCTATCTCAGTGTGCCCGGGAACCAGCACGGTGCCTGGAACATGGGCGAGTCTCAACATGCGTGCTGAATAAGCCACTACTTAGAGGGCTACTGTTTGTCGTCGTTCTGTCGCTCAGTTGTGCCTGATTCTTTTGCAGCCTCTTGGACCGTAGCCCGCCAGGCTCCTTTTTCCATGGGATTTCCCAGGCAAGAACCCTGGAGTGGGTTGCCATTTCCTCCTCCAGGGGATCTTCCTGACCCAGGGATCAAACTCCCATCTCCTGTATTGAGGGCGGATTCTCTGCCACTGTGCCCCCTGGGAAGCCCTTCCCTGAGCTCAGCGCCCTCCCTGCAGCCGTCACATTGAACATGACTGAGGGCTGGGCCAGGCGTGTGACTCAGGTTCTCAGCAGCCTCCTTCACTGTAGGCTGAGCGCACAGCCCCTCAAGCAGGGCTCACACACTGTTCTTTCTGTTGCGATTAAGTAAGCCAGCAAAGTACTGAGCTTGTGTTGTCACTGCCAGCCTCAGCCCACTATTTATAGACACGTGTTCCACGCGCTGTGTGACATACACATGTATAGTCACACTGAGTTTTTGTCGGGTTAGCAGCTGAGTTGACTCAGAGCTCCCGGTGATGCTTCTGGGGCCGTTGTTCACTTGCTCCTCCATGCACTTCCCCGGGGGGCTCCCCGCCAGCCTGCTCCGTGCCAAGCAGGAGACTCATGCTGGCTTCCATTATTTTGTTGGGTTTGAGGTAAATCTTTGACACAGCATCTGCATGCAAACCAGTTTTGCCACTTCTCCAGGGTCTATTTCTATGACTAGAGTGGCAAGAAGCAACATGCGTCAACAAGTCTGCAAGGGGCTGGGACTAGAGTGTGCTTGAAATTGACAGCAGAGACTCAGAGGTGGGGGTTGATGGAGGGAGGCCAGCCTGTGAGCCATGAAGAGGGCATGACAGGGTTTTCTGGCGTGGATGGCACCTGCGCGACCACAGATGGAAAGTGGTGGCCTCAGAGAGACGACACCGTGGCCCGTAGAGTGTCCATATTCAAGGAACCTGGTAAATTACATAAAGGAAAACAGGAGGGATCAGACATCTCCTGAGCCCCGGTGAACCGTGTGCCAGAAAGGCGTCTAGGTACTGTCCTTGCGGGTCCACGTACTTCGTGCCATCCTGGTGGCAAGTCCTGTGATATCTCTGAAGCTGTTCTCCCCTCTCCGGCCACACCCCTCCCTCAGCCAGGCTATTCCATCCACTCCCACCCCTCACCTTCCACAGCCTCCCCCCTTCACCACAATCAGGGCTGTCTGGTTAACTCACTCGACCTCCAAAGTGCTCACTATCGGTTTGCTGTTTTTCTCTACCAGCTTCAGAAAAACTTTCCAATGCCCCATCTATGATCCCTGTTTCCCTCTCTTATATCTTCCAGTATTCTCTCTCTTTGGCACACTTCCTTCAGCCCATTGCTGTTGTTGTTGTTGAGTTGATAAGTTGTGTCCAGCTCTTTTGTGACCTCATGGACTGTAGCCCTCTAGGCTCCTCTGTCTGTGGGATTCTCCTGGCAAGAATACTGGAACGGGTTGCCATTTCCTTCTCCAGGGGATCTTCCTAACCCAGAGATCAAACCTACATCTCTTGCATTGGCAGGTGGCTTCTTTACCACTGAGCCACGAGGGAAGCCCTTCCTTCAGTCCATAAATGATCCTAAATCTCAGACCATCTCCATTAACTGTTTTCTCCTCCAGAGATGGCCTTAAGATTTAATCAGACATAGAGATGAATTCAGCATTGCTGTATGAAATCCAGGGTCGTGCTGAGAAACATAACATAGGTGGTACGTGTGTGCTAAGTCACTTCAGTCATGTCTGATCCTGTGTGAACCTATGGACTCCAGCCCACCAGGCTCCCCTGTCCATGAGATTTTCCAGGCAAGAACACTGGGGTGGGTTGCCATGCCCTCCTCCAGGGGATCTTCCTGACCCAGGGATTAAACCTGTGTCTCTTATGCCTGCTGCATTGGCAGGCGGGTTCTTTACCACTAGTGCCACCTGAGAAGCCCCCTATATAGGTGGTAATCAATGTCATTCATTAAATTGCAGTACTACCAGGGCTGTGTAGGAACTTGGACTAATTTTTGAGACTGAAATAGGACTCTGAAAATAGCCCTGCTTTAATCAGGGCTGGAGAGAGCGTGGAAGATAAAGGGAGACAGGAAGGCAGGAGACTGAGCATCAGCTGAGACCCATGACAACCTCCATCTGCTCCCAGAAGGGGTCATGTTGAGTCTCATTCCACTGCAAGGCAACAGAATTCTATGTGGGAAGGTATGGGATTTCTAGGGCTTCCCAAGTAGTTCAATGTTAAAGCATCTGATGACTCCCAATGCTTGGAACTGTTTTAACTCCAAGATCCATCCATCCATTTAGCAAATATTAACTGAGCAACGACAATGAACCTGGCCCTGTGAAAGACACTGCAGGTATGAAAACAAGTAGGACAGGGGAGTGGTGGAGATGAACCAGAAGGTGAATCCTGTAGAATGTGCTGGGAACGTGTCTCATAACAGACTGAACCCAGGACATCGCAGGGTTCCTAGAGGTGGTTTCAACCTGTGCCCTGATTCATAAAGGGTGAGCCAGCATGAGCCAGGTGAAGAGGGAGGTATAGACAAAGAAGAGGCTGGAAGGTTACACTGGGACCAGGTAAGGAAGATCTGGAGTCATCCTGCTGAGGGATTTGTGGTTTAACACATGTCATGTGCATCCTCATGCTCAGCACAAAGAAGTCCCTGATATATCTTATCCTTTATTATTTATTCTATGGGCCACAGGAAGTCAGAGGACTTTAACTGGTGTAAGTCAGTCAAGATGGGGGGTATTGACATATTAAGATTTGCATTCTGCAAGCTCCCTTTGGCGATAGGGAAGAGAACAGATGGTACAGGATCACTATTAGGAGTGAGGCAGTGGAGGAGCCTGAAGGGGTGATCTGACAAAACGTGATGGTAGCTGGGGTGGGAGGTGACCATAGGGAAAGGAGGAAAGTGGTGAAGTGTTGCAGATGGGAGGCGAGTGGCTGAAGAAAGCGGCGTGTCAACAATGACCCTGGGTTCCCTCGTAAGCAAAGAAGCTGTGTTGGTGCCTTCCCCCAACACAGGAGACAGCAGAGCAAGGAGAGTGGGAAAAGGATGCACTGTGTGTGTGCAAGTCCAGCTTCGGTGCCTGTGGGACATGCCAGCAGCTGGGCATGGGCTGGAACTAATGAGAAAATCTGGACTAGACATCTAACTTCGGGAAGCTGGCAGCGCTTAGAGAGGAATTAAATCCACAGCAGTGGATGAAATGGTCCTGAGAGGAAGGAAGCAGAGTGGACCCTGGGAGCAACCCTGAGGAGGAAGGGATCAGGGATCCAGGCACAAAAATTATATATATATATTTAAGAGACACTCTAACGTTGTTTGTTAATTAGCAACAGATAACTAAAACACTGGCAATGTTAATTTTTTTCTCTGGTGAAGCCCCCTTTAAGGATCAACAATGACCTCAGTTGAAACTTCAGGGGCCTTCTCTAAGTCTTTTCCTTTCTGGACAGCTCCAAGGCATGTGATGATCCTGAAATGCCTTCTGTCGGTGCCCCTGTCTCCTTTCAGGTCCGCGGCCTCCTCTGGAGCTCAGTATTTCTCTCTCATCCATTAATGTCGGTGCCCCACAAATGATGTGCCCCGACGTTCTCTATAAATTCTGGTCTTGGTGTTTTTATCCAGTCTCACTGCTTTAAATATCACCTCCACCCAGATACTGTCCAATTCCTGGCAGAGGCACAGTGAGTAGAGGCTCAAAGTCTGGAAATGGGCCAGACAGGGCTTTAATCCTGCATCTGCCCGTTCCTAACCAACCGTGCGACATGATGTGAGCCATTAAAGTGGTTCAGCCCCTCTAAACCGCAAAGAAGCAAAGAACTTTCTCCTCTTAAATCTGGATAACAATAGCATATAGCTCACATGGACATTGCTTTAGCTGCCCCAGAATGAAGACTTAATAAATCACAGTTTTCCCATGTCTTAGTTTGTCGTACCACTGCTTACGTAAGGAAAAAATGGTAATATTGAATGTTTGTATGCATGTGGGGTAAATGGAGGTGGCTGTGATCAGAAAGAATTGGCCAGAGGGCTCTGGCCTCTCCAGCCCCTGCCCAGCCCCCACCCTTGGGGTGAGGGCCTGGATAGTGACCATCCCAGATCAGACACGGCACCCCCGCACCCCATCACACACATATCCCACAAGCCCCGGGGAGGGCCAGGGGGAGAAGGGAGGCAGCTGAGAGACCAACATTTCCCGAAGAGAAGTTGTTGTCTGGAAAAGGCCATTTAAACCTGCAGACGCAGAGCGGGCCTGATTGCCCGTCACCACCCAGAGGGTGAGGGTGGAAAAAGAGGAGGAAGAGAACTGTGTCTCTCAAGATCTCTATCCAGTCATCCCGCTCAGCAGGAACACCTACAAGACTTAAGTGCCTGTCACAGCCAGGACGCCAGCACGGACACATCCCTGGTCCTACTCAGGTCACGTGTTCTCGTGTGTGTGTGTACGCGCGCTCATTTAGTTCTGTGCAGTTTTATGACGCGTAGGTTTGTATATCCACCACCACAGGGAAACAAGGATCCAGAACGTTCTTCCCACCACAGGGATCCCTGGTGTCGCGGGATACAAACACACCCACTGACCTCCCACCCGACCCCTCACCCTGACAGCTGAGCATCCATTATTCATTTCTACAGTTCATTTCAAGAATGCCCTAGATGGAATCATCCAGCCTGCAACCTTTTGGAATTTGCTTTTATCATTCAGCACGATACCCCTGAGATCCACCCTGATTCTTGCCTGGGTCACGGGTTTTAGGAGATCTGGGTTGTCTCCAGTCTGGGGTATTATGGATTCTATTGCTGTTGTATTGACATACAAGCTCTGGTGTTAACTGTTACTGTACTTTTAAGATTAATTTCCCAGAAAACTCCAGTTAAATATCTTCTCCTTTCTTTGCAGGCTATTTAAGTTTTCCTGTCTCTGAAATGTTTTTTTTACCATTGCTCTTTCTAGTTATTTATCTTTCTCATTTTGATTCTTGGGGATTTTTTATAGATTCTGAATGCTAATCTTTTGTCAATAACATATGTTATAAATATCTCCCAAATTCTGGTGTCCTTAGATAAACATAAATTTTTAATCTTAATGTGGTCAGACTTATAAGTCACTCTTTGTGCTTTTTTGTGTTCTGTTTAAGAAATTATTCCCTACCCCAAGATCACAAAGATAACCAGCATGGTCTCCTAAAATTTTAGGGTTTTGCCTTCCACATTTAAGTCCTTCATCCACCCGGAATTTGGTTTGTGTTACATATTTACATAGGGCTGCAATATCAATTTTTGAACACGAATCTCCAGTTGTGACCATTTATTTGAAAGTCTGTTCTGTCCCCAGTGACCCCAAAACCCATCCCTTTTGCATATTAAGTGTCTATATATTCTCGGCTGAGTTTCTGGGTTCTCTCCATTCAGTGGCGGAAAATGAGAATGTTCCCCTTGGGGGGAGCGGGGGAGATGGGACAGGTTTGCTCCTGTCTCCCTCTGTGCCCTTTGGGGGTCTTAGCCTGTGCAGATGGTCAGCATCTTTTAAGAAGCCATGCCCTTCAAAGACCTGGGCTGTGTCTGGTCTCTGACGCCTCAAGGAGCTAAGTTCAGAGAATGCCAGCTTTAG